GGGTTTTAGGTGTCAAAACATTTTTTAGGTTTAAAATTTTAAAATATAGGCTTTATAAATCTATAATTAGTGGCATTTTTGTAAATAAACACCCCTAAGTGGCATTCTTGCAAATAGACACACACAAAATGACATTTTTGTAATTACCCTTTCTTTTTCTTGATTAATATTAACCACTAAAATAAAAAGTCGGTTAAGCTTGCAGGCTTTTAGTCTATTATTGACAATCCTAATTCTATGTAAATTTTTAACAGACTGTTGTCATATGAGCCTTTGTAGACACTCGGTCACAGACTGTCGATGATGGGGGTGTTCTCCATGTTGATACTAACAAAACTTTATTAATGATGCATTCATTTTACACACACATATATATCATTTTTAGCTTTCTTCTGCAGCTTTAAGTAGTAACTACTCGAGGAATATATAGTAGGAATGTCGAGGACAAAAAATGAAAAAAATTTGTATGGAACAAACTGAAAAAAAAGTTAAAGGAAAGGAATAAGTATTTCAAGTAATAAAATAATATGTTTTTACGTAAAAATGTAATACTTTTGTTACTTTTCAAATTAGTTGAGGAATAATTTGTTATATATGTCCTCATACTATAAATAATGAAATGAATTACATGAATTTCTTATTACTCATTAATGAATCAATACGACTGTGATATTCCTCATCATCCTTCTCATTCCTAATGGTCACAATTTAGAACCATGGTTAAATAAACATCGCTTATTGCAAAACCATGCCTCCTTATCAGAGTAAGAATACTTCAAAAGCAGGGGGCGTTGGCAACGAGAGCCGCATAAACCACATTTTGGTCGCGACAAACTATTGTTGGAAACCATTTCAAGCTTCCTCCCTTCTTCGATGCTGATGACACCTGCCTTGGAATTGTAAACCTCCCCAAGCACACATTGAATGTGGCAAATGACTACACAATCATCGCATTTGTAAAACCATTTTCGTGGATCTAAAACGGTTTCACAGACCTCACACCAGTACTTACCGCTAGCTATCTCACCAAAGCACAACGATAGAAAATGGTCATCACACCTGTGCTTTATCCTTTTTGGTAGAGTAGCACACACGAAACACAAGGAGAAATTACATTCAACACAACGTAGCACACGCTTTTTCAAACGCTCACAACCCCCACAAAGGCCCTTGTCTAGTGTAGTGAGAAAGAGGGTATGTGGGTGACATTCATAATCAGAATACCATGAGGTCGACACACACCGTACATCTAGTGATGTATTACCACTCTTGTACCTGAAACCATTTGACGTTGTTTCACAAGCAGAACACTGGAAAAAACTATCGTTGGAACCCACTTTGATGCTTAATAGAGTAAGCGGCTTCGTGCAAAGCCCATGTCTTTTCTGTAGAGGAAGATTAGCGCATGTTTCATGGAGGAAAAAATCGCATTCCATACAGCTGTAGTGCTTCTCAGAAAAGATAGAATGTGTGCAAGCTTCGCACCGTATGCTTTCATCACGATCAATACCATCCTCAATAAGCCTTAAGTTATGTTCATCATGGGAGAAATGATTAATGACTCCATCTTCAATCACTTTGAATGGCGAAACGTCTACAAATTCTTCGGGTACCCCTTCAAGTTCTACCCCATCCCACACATCGTTTCTAGTTGCGCACTTTGAGTGAACGACATCATTAGGACATATTGAACAAGAATAAGCACCATACCTCCAGTCGATCTTCATGTGACAAATCGTGCATTTCCAATTCTCAAAATCAAGAGAATAAGTGTGAGAGATCCGATGATCGTGGCGATTGATGTTTATGACACGTGGTAGTGTGATACAATCTTGATGGAACATGAGACCACATGGAATGCAGACGTGAGGGCAATGTTCACCATGCGTACCACAAGCATTACAAGTGAAGGAGTCGTTTCTAGGCATAAGGGTGAGTGAATGCTTGTGGCACTTCGGGGCATTGACAATGCGTGGCGAGGGCTTGTTGCAGCACCCCACATGCATGCTGAAGTCGCATAGAGAGCAATGGTAAAGAACGTTATCCACTTTATTCTCGCAGAGAAGGCATATTCCATTGGAGTAATTAGGTGGCCCTTCAATGAGAAGCTTGAGCGGGTGGATTGGGTGGCAATGATGGTTTATTTCGTCTTGTGAGCTAGGCATGCAACCGTTGTGCCAAGCCTTGTTGCATACATTGCAATCGAAGCTAAGATCGTCCTTGATAGTCTCCTTACACTCATCACATACTGTCTCATCACATACTGTCTCATCAGAAAAACGAAAAGCTCTTGCTAGGGAAGATGCAAGTGAAGATACATCTTCATAGAGGTCTTCATTGGGGTGACAGAAGTGATAAGAAATTCTTCCCATGGCGAATATTGTAGCTAAGAATGGTTTTCGGAAACAATGAATACGGATAAGAGAGGAATATTGTAAATGCAAAAGGTTTTACTTTCGGGTCTCACTTATCTCTATAGATACATACATGATTATATAGCCAAGTAAAATTAATTAAGCTGATCATCTTCGGATGTAAACAGCTAAGCAAAGTTGGTGAGTCTTTTTCGTAAGAATAAGAATAAGTCTCCTAACAATAAAAATGAATCAAGTTGCATCTAAGTCAACTAGAAATAATTATACTCACATATGCGAATGAACAACTAAGTTATTTTATCTTCTTTTCTTATGTTTTCCCCCTCTTTAGCTGTCAGCAAGTCAATGAAAACTAAAGTATCCTTAAGTTCAGTACAGATAGAATTAAAGAAAAACTAAATCAGCAGGTATCGCATTTGTTCTTATCGCATCCAGCACAACGCAACACACGTTCTCAGGACTCTTCAACCCCCGCGACAAGTTTGCACCAAACGTTCTTTTTGTGATTTAAATATTGAATCTCCTGTATAAGTCGGATATCCGATCAATATATAATCCGCAGGCAAGTCAATTAAGTAGTTCATCTACAAAAATATCATGAATAAAAATATAGCCGACACTTCATCACGATTGCTTAAAGCACAAAATATATATATAAAAAAAAAAACCGATTTGTGGTGAAGTAGCAATCGTGATGAAGTGTCGTCTATATTTTTATTCATGAAATACATATGTGACGATTGTGTAGTTGTATGCCATTGTTCAATGCGTACTCGGGGAGCTTCCGAATGCAAAGCCGGGAGTCGTGGACTTCTGTTATTGGGGGACAAATTAGAATTGGTTCCTAACCATCTTATATCGCAGCATGAGGTTATAAGAAGTTATGCATATGAATTAGTTCCTAACAATCCATAAAAAATGTGAATCATGCATATTAGCAAAGGTTAAGTTTATAAGATATTTATATATTAAAAGCAAAAAAAATATATTATATTTTTGTGTAGTTAAATGGAAAACGTCACAAGTTAACAGATAGTTGAAAGTGTTGTGTGGTATAACAATTGATTTTGTTAGTCAGTGTGTAGTGCATTCAGTGTCTACCAACGCTAAAACTGGAAATATTCACAAAGCCAAATGTCTTCAAAACAACTAAATTCCCA